GTGGAATGGGTGAGGTCACTATTGTTCCTGCTTTAAACTCACCTTTTCTGGGGAAATGGCCTTGAAATAGAGCTGGGAACTAGATTATTGCCTCATAAAACAGCATGAGGTTACTGTTATTCCTTAATTTTATATCTTTATTATGAGGTAATACTTCTCCTACTTGATTCGAAGAGTGTTCTTGTCCTTTTCTTATGTATTTGTGAAAGCTACATGTTGAAGGACTTAGCATAACAACCGTTGCTAAATTATGATGTAAAATAATACTGTGTCTGCAATTAACCCAGGTAGTTTTACTTGGTTCAATAATATAAAATCACCGGGCTCATAATGTTTTAGTACTTCAGTGTGTTTGGCAAAGAAAGAAATTCATGTTACCGTAAAACAGTTGAACTAAGTAACAATTAATCTCAATTTTAAGGAAATATAAAGCAGAGTATTATGTTATAACATGGAACATTGATGCAAATAGCTTCCCAGCTGGAACATTAAATAGATTCTGAACCAGAGGTTAACGAAAAAGGAGAGTTTTTGCTTCGTTCTCTTATGCTTCAACAGCTTTCCTGAAGTCTTAAATTTTTAATTTCACTTGAGTTATCACCGGTGCCCTAAGACGGTGGTCCTTCTAGAAAATGATCACTTTTTTCCTAATGACCAATATCCACAATTTCATTCTTGTGTATCCTTTCTGGAACTATTACATTTAAACCTTAATCACACCTTAATAATCATTTTAGTGTGATAATTGTACATATGTTTTGGGTTGAATTGTGTCCCCCCTAAAGATATATTTAAGTTTTAGCCCCCTTCCCTGTGAATGCGACCTCATTTAGAAATAGGGTCTTTACAGGTGTCATCAAGTTAAGATGTGGTTTTACTGGGTTAGAGTAGATCCTAATCTGATGACTAGGGTACTTGTACGAACAGGAAAATTTGGACACAGGGATGCATCCCCAGAAGAGGCCATGTGGAGAGATGGGCAGGGAGAATACCGTGTGACCGGGAAATGGAGATTGGTGTGATGCATGTACAAGCCAGGGGATGCCGAGGATAGTTGGCAAACACCAGAAACTAGGAAGAGGCAAAGAATGATTTTTTTCTAGAGCCTCCAGAGAGGGCGTGGACCTGCCAATGTGTTCAGTTAGGGCTTCTTGCTGTCAAAAGTATGAGAGAATACACTTCTTTTGTTAAGCCCCCCTGTCTGTAGTACTTTTTTATAGCAACCTTAGGAAACTACAATGACATGCTATGTTAAAAGTAAATAGCAGGTTAAATTGGCAGCAGTAGTAATGTTATTATATTTTATTGTTAGGTCAGGCAAATAGGAAAATACCTAGTGGACTAATTCTTTATATTGAATTTTCTGAAAAATTTCAATATTCTTCCTGAAAAACATGGGACAAAACAGGATTTTTCTTAAAATAGCCCTTTGTTTGAGACAGAATTTTCGAAAGTTAAATCATGTGGCTGTTTACATTTTTTGTTCACATCGTCAGATACATTATGCTTTCATCCACTAATTAATTGTGTCATTGGTTCAGTTAATATTTGTTAGCCACCTAGTGCTTGCCAGGCACTGAGCTGGGTGCTGTAGGTGACACTCTGTAAATAAGATACGGAGTACCTGAGCTTAAAGAGATACACAGCTTCGAAATTTACTGCATGGAGAAAGCTGCAGAGGCCACTTGGAGGAAGATTCTGCTACCTAGAAAATTCATTTTCACTGATTACTACCCTTTTAACTGATCTTGTAAAGTCATTTTAGTATCATTTTGGTTTTACTTACTCTGTGCTCCTGTATTATAATGGAAAAGTTTTTTTTTTATTTACTGCACAGACAATAAAGTCAGCAATATTCAAAGTATGTGAAGCCAAAGATATAATTCTGTATCAAGTTATTTTTATTTTTAATGTTTCTTTTAAATCAATATCCAGGTACATGCTTAGATTACATGAGTGTTAGCAGAGCTAAAATATTGTTCTGATTTTTTCACTTAATACACAATCAGTAATTTTTGCTTTTCCATGTCATTTTTATAATTATGTTTTTCCTAAAGCTATATTATATTACGTTTATTGACCATAATTTGTTTAATCAGTGCTTGACAAAAGTGAGGCTTTCTGGCTTTTATTATCATTAATAACACTGTAGTGAATACCTTGTGACTTTTAGTGGGGGAGATAGTTTACTCCTTAGGAAAGTTAATGGGTAAGAGTTTAAACATGTTTTAAAATGCGGTGACAGATCGCTTTCTAAATATGTTAGAAAGCCTGACATTATCACTGGCAGTTGAATGAGGGCAGTATTATCACTGTATCCTTTGTGACACTGGGCATTAGTAATATTTAAAATGATTTGAGTTACTGAAGATGTATATAGGAATCCAAAATGTATACTTGTTCCTTAAGTTTACATATTTTGGCAACTGTGAAGGTGAACACTTTTCCAAATCTTTGTTTATTATTTACATTTTTAATAGAGATTTGTATTGTCATACCTTTGCTTAATCACTTATAATTTTTATTGAAGTTTTTTCACATTTTGCTTATAATTATAATATTTATTGAAGATATTTTTCATAATCTGTTGTGTCCTGTTGCTTTTGGGGCTGTCTTTCTCTGTTAAGAAATGCAAAAGTTTTTGTTATGTTTTTACATAGCTGAATCCATTGTCCCTTCTGCTTGTAAAGCGGTGCAGTGTTTTTACCATTCACCTTACCCATCTATATGTTAGAATGAAAAGGAACATCAGAGTCTCCCCTTTAAGAGAGCACTGGGCTACTTTGTTAACCAGATAGTGAGGGGAAAATGGCTCCAAGGAAGATGATCCGTCACAATTCCTTCCTGGAGGAGAGGAGGGGGCTCATGATGCTGGCAGGTACTGAGTCTTAGCAGGTTGGTATCAATTGGACTGGTGGCCGACACCACATCCAAGGCGAGGCTGAGCCAGTGTGGCCCTGGTGGCTGTGGGAGGGGGCAGTGTGCAGGGAAAAGGATCAGGAGGTTTGCTAAGGTGGGAGGAGCAAGTAAGGGATCAGCAAGAAGCCAGATCAGAGTAAGAGACACAGATTTGATGTGAGGAACCAATCCGTAAGGAGATGGGGGAGGACAGGAGAAGAAAGATGGAAGTGTGAGGTAAATGGCGAAGAGTTGGGCTTCTTCCAGTCACCATTTCTCAGCCCACTCCCAACACAAAGAATAACATCTTTAAATCTACAATTCCTGAATTCATATGTATACCACAACACCTTTCAGTGTGCTTAATATATACCCTCCCCTCTCCCCATCTTAAATGCACTTTAAAATTGTGCTTTTCCTTGAAATGACACTTTTCTGGTTTTGGAGTATTTTTCATCAGCATCTTACTGAGACTGTCACATTACATACATGTAAATACCGTGACCGTTTTATGACTTCTAACTCCTAAAATTGAAAAAAATCTTTGATCTGTCTCTTGTGTTTGTGTATGCATAAAACAACTTACATTTTAAGTTTCCTTTGTAATTTTTAAAACATCTTGTATTCTAATAAGGAAAGTCAGGTTTATTGTAGAACATACTGCAAAGCAGGAAAGAAAAGAAGTTAAAACCACATCTACCTGGTTGTAGTAGGAGTATGTAAAACTGAGCGCAACATCTGCATATGGTGAATGTTTGATAAACTGTGTTGGAAACATGTTGTTTCTGCTGATTGGAGTACTTATTTTCCACTTAAATTATATTTTCAGAAGTTTTTGGTGTCATTAAATATTCCTTGAAATGTGAGTTTAACGATTTACATCTATGTTTATGTCTATGATCAACATATTTCCTATGTAAGTCTTTTTTTAACCTCATATTCTTTTAATTTTACTTTTAGAATTAGAATTTGAAGGGCTAGAAATACATCATTGCTCTTTTAAAGAGCATTTCATTTATTAGTGAGTTTGAGTATTGGTTTTGTGGTGACTGACCATTTTCTACAGGGCTGTATGTGCCTTTCTACTTGGATTGTAAGGCATTAGCCTGTTGTGTTTGATATTTGTGTAGATATTTCTTTTTATATTTTCATGTGTTTTTTAATTATGTGTGTGATTATTTGTGTTATATGTTCAAGGGGATGTTTGGCTTTTTTGTGTTACATTTTGTTGCTTCTATTGAAAAATTCTTTATTGTGAGTTAAAATACACATATGCCTATGTTTCTTAGAGTTTTTTAAAACTCATTTTGCCTGGAAATTTTTTAACTGTATTGTATGGAGTAAAGATGAATTTTTTTTGAGTGGTTACCTGATTGTCTCACCATAGTTTATTGATCAGTTGTCCTTCCCATATATATCTGTAATACCTTCTTTATCATAATAATTTTATTTTCAGTCTTTTTAAAATTGGCGTTTCCATTTTGTAACATATTCTTTAGAACTGAATAATGATCGTCTGGTAATTCAGACACATTTTCCTGTAACAGAAAGCTGTCATATTAAAATACACGTTATATTTTCTCATTTTTGGGGGGGTAATTAGGTTTATTAATTTGTTTTTATCATTTTTTAAATGGAGATACTTGTGATTGAACCCAGGACCTCATGCATGCTGAACACTCACTCTACCACTGAGCTATATCCTCCCTACTCATACTTTCTCAATTTTATGTATTTTAGAAAGTGAATGGTTAATGCATACTCAGTGTTTAATCTGTCAATTGCTTAATGACAGACTTCTCAGCAAAATAGTGGACTGTTTATTATAGACTGCATCTCTAAAGTTGTCCTCAGATGTGTTTTGTTTATCTGTAGGATTCCTGAGTAGCTGTTTGTATGTCTCAGTTTTACCATGATGTGATTTTCAAGATCATTATTTCTATCAGATATAGAAACAATATTACTGAATTTTGTTCTTTAAAGATAGTGCTTACAGGTTACCGATGACCAGCTATCACGTAAATCATAGTTTTGGTAATTAAAATTAATTTAAAAAGATAACTTTTTCATTTTCCCCCTTTGTTTTCATCTTTTTGTTTTAGATAGTCCATTTTTAATTGAAGGAAGCTGCTTCTGCTTAGGAGTGGCAGGAGAAGTAAGGAAACCACATGGAAGACTCCCAGGATTTAAATGAACAATCAGTAAGTCTTAATTCAATCTCAAGTTTGCAGAACAGTGCTGTGGTAAGACTACTCAAAAATCATACTGAAAGGAATATATTGTAAAAAGCAAGTTTTTTGTTACAAATATTTTTCAGTTGATTTTTGGATTCTCTTTCAAGATCATAAAACGGACCTTTGGAAACGTTTGCTGCTTCTGCTTAACGGTGTCATATTTTGAGGTCTTCCTTGATTGTCTGCTTGTAAAGCCAGTGGTAGTAAGACTAGGGCCTTGAAATCAAGCCAGGTCTAAGCAGTTTTACACATCTCCTCTATTGGGTTTTATTCCAGGTGTGCTTAGACAGTGCATTTGTTGTTGAATGTCAGAAGCATGAAAGGAGGAGAACATTACTGGCGTGCCTATTGTTCATGTCAAGGATGGTGACCACAGTCCTGAAGGCCTTTCCTTATTTTGCTGTTTTGCTAAGCTCTTCACAGAGTGAAGAATGCTGTGCAACCATTGTCTTAGATTGGTGGCAGTCATTCTAAGATTTGAATTGCTCAGAGGGAAAGGATTTGTATGACCTTTCCTCCTCTTAGTAGTGTCCCCATGGCACTAGTTCTTTAGTGTGTGGAGCTGGAGTCAGTAGGAGGTTTCCCCCTACCCTACCTCCGGCTCCCACAGCACTGCCAACTGCGGCCCAAGCTGTTCTGCCCACAGACGACTAGCAATGTCACGAGTAAGGAGATATGTGTACTTACCAAGTGTGTGTTAGGCAGACGGATGCTCTTTAGCTTGTATGATCATGATTTGATCTTAGAGCCTCATGTTTCCATCAGGCAGCTGAAAACAGTGTATTTGTGTGTGATAATGTGATTCTGGAAAAGATTGCTATAATCAATGATTGATTTTATTTTTTATAATCAATGATTAATTTTAAAATGCAGAGTGACATGTGTTCTGGTGTATATATGCCATTCCAAGTTAATTTAATTTGTTTTCTATTAAGTGCTTTATTTAAATGAAATGATAATTGAATTTTTCATTTATATACAGACATAACCATTGTCTAATTATTTTTTATTATACTATTATTTAATTTCACATGACATCATTAGAGGAAAGTGATTGTAACAAAAAATTACAAGCCGTAAAACTATTAAAAAGCCTGTCAAGTGGTAAAGAATTCCTCAAAAATTGCCTGAGTGTTTTAGAAAAGTGGACAAATAGCATTTGGGAGGCAAGGGCTTCAAAATAATTTTTTTTGAATTGCTGGTTATCAAACTTAAGTATTCGTAGCATGGACTCTACTAGAGTGGATGATAGTCAGCTTAATGATGTCACTTGCATTTTTGTGGATCCCAGTGGTGTCAGAAGGCTGTGAGTGTGACCATACCTGAATGAGTGATGACATCTTAGTGGTGATGCTTTGTGGGAGGGCTGCTGTTAATCTGTACTTTGTTCTAACACACTAAGTGTTGTGTGCATGTGTGTGTGTTTGTGTGTGTGTTTGTGTTAGACTGACCAACTGTCCCTCCTTCCAGAGACCCAGGAGTTTCCTGGGACGTGAAATTTTCAGAGCTAAAGCAGGTGGAGTCCTTGCAAGCCGGGATGGTTGATCCAGTCAATTACCTTAGGGTGTGTGTATACTTAAGAACAAATTTTTCTTTCAATACAGTTAAAAGAGGCTAAAGAGAATATATTCTTAGGCTTAACATTAAAGTGAAGTTGTTACCCAAGATACTTCACACCACCTTTTACAAAATGAAACCCAGCCCTTGTAAATCATAATAGAGTTTCCTCCCAGTGATATTTTAGGGTTGTGGAACTCAGTATTTAAAGTAAAAATTTCAGTGCTCAGTGTTGTTAATGTTCAGTCAGATTTGAGAATTAGAAGTATTGAGTGATCTTCTGGTCTCTCAGCTCAGACCCTGTGCTAAATTGTTGGTAAGAGTGGAGAGGTATTGAGAGAAGGAAAGAATGCTCTCATTCACTCTTTCTCGGTTCCCTCCCCAGCACTGAGCTTTCCACCTGAGGGTCAGAATCTGGTCAGGGTCAGAGTGGAAGCTCCTGGTCTGTGGATGGTCTGATAGTCTGATAGGCCATCAAGAATGGGCGCTTCTGGCTTAAACCACAGGAAACTGGTTGCTTGTGTCAAATGTTAATGGCTCAATGGCTTTGATTTTATAAACATCATAAATCCCTCTTCTTCAGCATCATTAGACTTAGAAGAACATATCGGCCAATCTGTTCATCTTGTACATGTGCAAAGCGTTGCTTGGGACTATTAAATAACTTGCCCATGTTGGCATGGCTAGTAAGCGTCAGAGTTGGGACTTCTCAAAGATCTTCTGACTCCAAGTCCAAAGCTCTCTCCTTAACATCCACATGCCTTATTGCTTTTGAGTTTCCTTATTTGGACTTTTCATCACTATGGAATAAACTCCCATTACAATGAAATTATTTCTATTTGAATGAAATCTTTAAATAACTTTAAATCTTGCAGAATATATTAATTATTGTCTCAAAACCTTTTGGAAAATGATACTTGGTGTTTATTAAGATAAAAAACAAATAGGGTGGCATTAAAAGAAAGTTCATAATAAGATGAAAGGGAATTAACTTAGATCATAGTTATTTTATTTCAAGAAGTTTTTTTTTCCCTCGAGGCATAGACATAACAATAGGGGCCAGTTGTTGCAGGTATAATGCACATCTAGCACTTTCTGTGTACTCTCTCCAATCCTGACCACATCCTTGCAGTGTGGTTGCTATGGTCACCATGAGGAGATTATGGCCCAGAGAATATCAAGGTTGAACAACTGTTAGGTAGCAGAGGTTAGAATTGAACCCACTTCTATCTGGCTCTAAAACCTATAATGGATTTTGCATGATACCACATAAGGTAAGAACTTGAGTTGTGAAATCAGACATCCCTGACACGTAAATACTTTATGACCATTGGGAAGTTTAGTAAACTCTTCCTCATGTGTAGCGTGGGGAGACTAATAAAAAGAAGTTACATGAAGGACTTAGCACATGCCTTTCTTAGAGTAAACACTCAATAAATGTTAGCTGATCTTACAATAACCTGATGTATTCAGATGGTCTTTGATGAGTATGTGTCTTCATTCTTCCATGCTCACCGGGCAGACATCCCTGCCTGGAAGAACATAGGTCTACAGATTCTGCAGATGGAAACTGAACTCACCGGCTCTCTTCTTGCAGTTTTCCTCCCTTTCTCCTCTGTCCCGGTACTTCCCATCTCGGTGGGTGGCGCCATCATCTACTGAGTAGGTTAATTCAGAAAACAGGTAGGCATCCTTTTTTCCTGTATCCCCGTATCAAAATCCTGTCTGTTCTTATTTTTTGTATCTCTCAAAGTTGTTCTCTGACTCCAGCTCCTTAGGATCTGTATTTTATCTCTTGTCTTTTTCTGCTTTAAGTTGTGCCAAGAGTAGTCGCCCTGATTGACATACCTGATCACAACTTTCGGCTTCATATGGTTCACAGGTCTGTTCTTGTCTTCTAAAGAAAACCCCAAATGTGTAGTAAAGTGCTTACTTACATCTCTCTCGTCTTGTTTTTGGCTTCTTCCGTTTCCCTGAGTCTCGCAGGCTCTCGGTGGGTTCTATGCCTCTGCAAGCACTATAGCTTCTTCCCTGGTGGGCCTCTTCCTCACCCGGTAACTTGCAGATCTTTGAGACTCACTCACTCGCATCAAGCTTCTGAGGTTGCCGCCTCCTTCCCTACGCTGTCAGCCACGCCGGGTCAGGGACCTCTACAGGGCACCTTTGCCATTTACCTCTATCCTGGGACTTATCCCATGGAACTGAATTTGTATCTGTATATTTGTCTCTCTGCTAGATTATAAACTACTGAAGAGTAATAATAGTGGGTCTTGTTCTTCTTGTATCTTTACTTCTTAGCACAATTCTTGCTAATATTCAATAAATGTTTTGTTCAAAAGCTTTTGTATGCTGTTGTAAACTAAGGTAATGAATAGCCTGGCACATTTTAGAAAGCCAAAGTGTTATTCTCAGAATGGATTACTGAGTCATGAACTCATTTCTTACTTAACATTTGTTTAAAAAAAAGTGCATTTAACATGTAACACTTATTTAACAGCACGTGATCAAAACAAAATTTGGTTCTTAAGCAATTTGTTTTTTGTATTGTATCTGGACCTTATTTTGCAGTCTGCCTTAGAGGATCTAGGGAACTTTAAGAGGTAAGCAATTAAAGTAAGATTTAACTCTCATATTTGTCTGAAATTCTCTGTTAGAACTTCATAATTTTTTAGAAACAGTTTTAATATCCAATTATAGTTTACTACAGTTTTAAAATAAATGCTGTACTTGTTAATAGAAATAAATGAGTCTGTATTATACAAAAGAGTATTTCTACTAATAATCAGAAGTTCCTTTGATACCCTGAAATATATTCCTCATAATCAAATGAAGGCTGAGGAATATTTATTGTTTTTATAGCTTCTGTAGTATTCTTACACATGGAGATATTTTAAAGTCTTGTTTTGATGGTACTAAAGAAGGCTGCAGATTTTTTTCTGCTCTGATTCACTCACATCAAAGTGAGAGGGAGTTTAACCTAAATTTATCATCAGGCTAGAAGGTTTGAAAAAAACACTTGTTAATTTTAAGGACTGTATGTTATTCAATAAAATATTAGTGGCTATTAAGTAAAATGAGGTAAAATTTTAGACTCAGTTACAGTTTTTGGATTCCCTAATATTAAACATTAAGTCCTACATTTGGAAATATTGTCCTGAATAGTCCTACATTTGGAAATATTGTCCTGAATAGTCCTACATTTGGAAATATTGTGACTGAATCAGTTGACTTATGTTGTTGGTAACATTTCAGCTTGTGAGATCTAAATTAATTCACATTCTTTGGATTCATATTTTACATTGTATGTTTCAGAAATATTTTTAGAAGTTCATATACATGTAGATGTTAATAGTATTTCTTTTCTTGCATCAAACCTGCTAGTTTAACAATGTGTATTAACATTTTAGAGT